CAAACCAAAATAAAGTAGCTAAGTGTTTACGTAAACGATGTTCCATTGTTTTATTCGAGTTTTTATAAAAACCAAGTACACTTCTTGACGGGTTGATCACTTTGAAAGTGTTAAAGTGTCATGGACTTATAAATAAATCATTAAACGCACGTCAACTTGAATGATATAAGAGGTAGACTTGAGAAAGTTGCCGACAATGAAACTTGTCATTTATGTCTTTCAAACTTAACTCCTGACGGGTTGTTCACTCTTTAAAAGTGTCAAAGTGCGATAGATTCAGAAATGAACTATCTAGAACACACGCCAACTTGAATGATATGGGAATCCATTCGGAAGAGTGATTTTTAACAAAGAGATTTGTGTATCAATATATTTTGAAGACACCATCTTGTCACTTTCCCTGGTCCGGATACCACATAGATATATGGGTTGAAAGCTATAATATATTGCAATGGTGAAGTTCGAAAGGAATATCTTCAAAATAGATGGTGGAACTAAGTTTTGAAACATTGTTTGCTGTAGCATTCCTACAGCATTGGCTACTGGAATTTGTGTTTGGGTCTCACCACAAGTCTTACACCCTTGCTATCCTTATATATTATGTTTTCTGTATTAAATCACCTGAATATCAAACTGAAGTTTTCAAAATCATCATCTGAAATCATCTCTTTCATTGGACTCTCAGTAAACTTTTGTTACAATCTCCGTAGACGATAATCCAGTATTTTACCACTCTATTACTTTGAAAGACGATACTGGGCCATTTTGTATACTTGTTTTGTGGTCCATTTCTTTAGTCTAAAGGTGTGCAATATAACCGACCAGTTATGCATGCCAAAACAGGGAATTGGGGTTGTTTTTGTTTCCAAAAATCTATTTGATCAATTTTTTCAAAATCTTCGACATTATTTACGAGACATCCGGCTACAAAGTTAGTATGCACATACATATTTAGTTCACAAAAAACGTTATCAAATCTACTTTTTTTTACTTGATTCATTTAAAACCTCGTTTATTAAATTAGTCATAAACTCTTTCCGACTTTGGCGATGACCACTAGATGAACTAAAACTCGTAAATCCACGACTTGAAGAGCTTTGTTGTTGGTTTCCTTCCCCAAAAAAATGTTTATAATGATCAAATAAATCTTGAAAATTACGATTAAACAAACGTCTTTGTTTCGTTGAAAAAGAATTAGCCGTAGCCGTATCTAAACCAAAGGCTACACGTATTTGTGTAATTAAAACTTCAACACCGATAACATTTAAATACAGGTTTGACACCGCAGCACAAAGAAAAGCAAATGGGATGTTCATAAAATATTTTAACAATTTTTTTTATTGAATTCATCAACCTTCCCCAATCGTGACGGTATTCATATTGTGCAATCTTAATTTCCAAAATATATAATTGATTTAAAAGTAAATGGCTTGTTGGATAATAAATACAGGATAAAAGTGTTATCGCATTTTTAAAATCGCCTAAAATATCGTACGATCCTTCAACCACGGCCCAATTAAGATTCCCAATAGAATTTTGCGGGTAATGGTGTTTATAAAATGAAAAAGTATAATTTTTTTGTTTTACCAAATTTTCAATCGTAAAATAAGTCGAATTCCATCTAACGGGCATATCGAACCTCGGTCCCAAAGCTTTAAAACCAACGTATTCGCAATATTTTCTATATTCCGCATCATTTTCTTACCTTTTGTGAAAATTCACTGCAACATAAGTCTAAACTTATCTATTACATGTTTACAAGTATTTAAACCGTCTTGAACGGTTAAATTTATTATGTGTGTACAACAACGTGTATGAAATAATTTACCGTTTAAAAAGATGTCAAATGACACTTTAATTTTTCCACACATAAATTGTTATTACTAGCATTATCAAATGAAATACTAATTATTTTAGCAGATAAATTATAAAATACAATATATTTTTTAATAATTGAAAATTGACGTGCACCCGAATGTGGCGCACCAAACGGTTCAAACACGATTACACGTTTGAATAAATGCCACGATTGCGGCTCCATCCAAAGTGCCGTTATGCATATATAAGAAACCAACAATCCGTGTGGTGTGCTCCATACATCACATGTTAAAGAAATGTTGTTAGGCAAAAGAGGAAACATTTGCTGCATTTCATCTCGACACATTTTTCACATTTTAATTGCATCACATCTAAGGTTTGACGACCTTATATCGTGGTTGTAGTGTTTTTTAGATCAACTTCGTAATGTGAGGGTTGTCGAAATGTCCCAAAGGCAACCCGACTTGAATGACACATTGTGTTATCATTTATCGGTTCAACTAGGCATCAAACGACCATATTTGATCTTGAGTGTCAAGTATCAGTTGACTTGAACTGCCTCCGACCTCAACCTCGGGCACGTTTTTTCGGTGTACCGCCTTAAAGTAGAACTTTCTTCCGCCGTAAGGAGAGTTTGACACATTTTGCATTGTGCCTTTCTTTTCCCGTTCGTGGGGATCACCAAGTTGTATGAATTTCAAATCTCAGACTTTCATCCGTGCTCAGCGAGAACTTGGGCAACTTGTTCGTTTGATGCATCATGTTGTTCACCGGCCATTTTTTGTAAGACAAAGAGAGAAAGAAATGAGAATTGTAAAGTGGAAGCGAGAAATAATTACGAGCCGAAGTCACAAAATACAACGAGAAACTGAGAATTGTGAACATTATTTTGCGTTTTGTAAGTTGGTATGTAAATCCATACTCCATGACACTTATATATATGGTTTAGAATGCCAAAAATACCAAAAAAAAGGGTCAAAAATCGGTCCCAATGGTCATAAATGGCTAGTTTTCAAAAAATCTGGCCGGGCCGGGTAGCTTCCGTCCCATAATCGGTCCAGGTCGGGCGGTCCCTAAAATCGCTCCAAAATGTAACCGGTCCTTACTGGTCCCAGACCGATCCTTTGTCGGTCCCGATTCCGGTCCTCCGACGGTCCCGGGCCAGGCCAGGTCGGTTTGGCCATCACTGCCTACAAATATGGGATTTAGAAATCTCATGCGGTAGTCGGTGTTTCACAAAACTTTGTTTATAATGTTGCTATAAATATGTTTAAAAAACTTGTTTTAGAATAATCAATTAATAAAAAAAAATAGTTTAATTATTTTTATTATTGTTCTTATAAATCCTTTACAATAAATTTCATTTCAAATCATTCAAAGCAAACACACAAAAATCTCAAATTCCAAATTCTAAATCCCTCCAAAACATTCAATCAAGCTAGATGGACCATTATTGTTTATTTTTGTCATTAGACAAAATTTTAATGGCAAGATTGATTTTGACCAGTCTTGAAAACAATATGTTGAGTCATGTAATCAAATATAATAAGGTATCGAATTAAGTCTCATTTAAAAGAATACTCCAAATATATTTTGGGTACACATTTTTTTTTCGTTGTAAAATTATGTTATGTATGATCTAATTTTCAATCATTATGAATAAAAATTGATTTGAAATAGGAATGACCCAAAACCCAAAAAAATGATTTAAATCACCTCACCTTTAATGCTTTTAATTTTTTTTGGATATCTGGCCTTAGAAAGGATTTGCAAAAAATGAATCATATTCTCTCCACCTGTAACTACAATTACAAAGAGGTTTGTTGTTATACACATTTCACATAAAAGATTTGTTTTTCTACGAATGATTGCATAATCGACTAAGACCAACATTTCGCATGGATGGTTATTTGAATCTACTGTAAGTAAAAATATTGTAGATTTTATGACATCTTGAAAGAATTTGATATTTTTAAATTGAATAAATTTTAATGACTTTTTACATCCCGCCGCATTGCACTAATACACAACTAGTAAATTATAAAAGAAACGTTAGATGTGGTATTGGTACCACTTTTAAAAGATAAGTGAATTACATTGGTGTGAGAGATAATTATAAATATTTATATAACTGTTTTGAAATATAAGTCATATTGTATCGATGTAAAACCTAAAGATTTCAGTATTTGGCCTTAAGTTACAAATATGTGTTAAAATACACTGATCTCATCTTCAAAAAGGTCCTCTAAACTATAAGTTTTATGTTCATTTTGCCTCTTTATCTATCAATTATTTCTGCCTTTCGTTGTCATTATAAGTGTTTAACGAATGATTACTGATTATGGCGTTTTTACTTTTTGATTCCACATTCAACTTCCCTGTTTGTTACTATTAGAGGGACAACTTTTCTTGATCTAGGTCATTTCATCTCTCTCATTTTTGTCATCAAAAGGAAGTAGCGAGTGAAGGTGACATCTAAGGCTTAAGTAAGGGAAAGAAAATTTTGAGCCTTGGTGACTTGCCCCTTAGGGATGGTGATTTGTTGCGACCCGGTGGGGAATCTGGTTCACCCGACCCGAACGGGGATGGGGATTCCCCGCTAAAACGGGTCCCGGGGCCGGGGATCCTCGGTAGACTCAAACCGGGGCCGAGGACGGAAGATGTTACTCAAACCAAGGCCTGGGTCGGGAATCCCCGGTAGAATCAAACTAAATGATATTATTTTATGGGGTTTGATCGGGTTTTACCGGGATTTGACCGGGGATTGCTAGAGATTTGACCGGGGACAGAATGATAATCCCCGTACCCGCCAAGGACCAGGGCCGGGAGATGTTACTACAAGCTGGGGCCAGGGCCGGGGATTACAAAACCCGCCCCATCCTCGCCCCATCACCATACCTTTCGCCCCCGATTGTAGGAAGCCCACTCTACAGTCCCACTTCATCGTCATCTACGAGATTCGAGTTAGAAATCATCCCCGATTCTATGATTTAAGGAATTTTCAGAGGTAGAAATTGAACTCAAATATTTTCCTTATCAACACCTTTGAAACTCGGCATGAGTTTGTTTATTTTGGGGCAAAATGAAAATTGTGTAAACTATAGGGTATTTTATGTACATTCAACCAAAACCATTAAAAGAGCAAAGAAGAAAATTGGAAAAGAAAAGTAAAGAAAGCTTGGGGAACAATAAAAGTCGGACGAGTATAAGATTTGCCCGATTCAGTTTGCCAGTTTTTGATTCTTCAGCTTAATTCAACTTTGCTTCTTCCAGATCTCCATTAAGGTTCGTTATTCATCTCCTCTCCATATTTAGATTTGAATTTTGTTTATCGATTATGGAGTTTCAAGGATTTAATTCTAGGCTTATATTTACTCTAAGCTCAGCTATGATTAGTTTACGAGGTTAATGCGGTAGTTTAAGCTCCACTTCGCCCACTCATCTATCGGTTTTTGAAGGGATTATGAAATTCGAAGAAAAAAACCCTAATTTTTAATCGGTTTGGTGGATTATTGGATTTGTGATATTTATAATGTAGGTTTAATCTTATTTGGTACTTATGGTTTTCGTGTTCTTTAATCTAAGATCATTTGAATTATATAATGGGTATTTCGGGTAAGATGTCATGAGAACTTCCAGGACTTTTTTGATACACCGTTGTAATGGGTGTTTTGGACTTTTGGTTTCCTGCAAGATTGGTGTTGCTTTTTAAATCGTGTTTTATGAAATAACCTCTGAACCCAACAATAATTCAATTAGTACTGTATTGCATACTTTTTATTCAGCCCATCATAATGTATATTACTTTGCAAATTCATTTCATCAACATGTCAAAGAGAGATATATGCCTATAGATTATATAGGAGTTAAAGTATCTCTTATTTCTAATGTTCTTCTACAAGATTGTTAGTTGAGATGGATTTTAATGATGAAATTACTTCAACTCGGGGGTTTACTTCAACTCTTTGAAGGCTGTTGGAGAAATATTAAGGGTCTACTCGGTTCATAGTATAATTAGCATTAGGTTCTGATGATGATATATGGGTTCTTTTTGCTTCTAAAAATGGTTGTAAATGCTTTGTAGTTTTCTGGTGGATATAACCCCATTAGGAGACCGGGACCATGTGAAAGATTATCTGTACTTAGAAAATGGATTCTAATGACATTAAGGGCCATTTATCAAACACCTTCCAGCCTAGTGGTAAAGGCTTGGGCATGGCATAGTCATGAACCCGAGTTCGAGCCCTGGGAGGGGAGTGTTGGCGACATTTAAGTGGGGCCATGTTTAGCCTCCAAATTTGCCGGGGATTAGTCGGGCTTTGGCCCGGACACCCTTACAAAAAAAAAAAAAAAGGGCCATTTATCAAACGCTTACCCGGTAAGCGCTTACTGGTAGAATTTGACACTATCATTTAGGCACTTACTTACCGGGTAAGATTTTAGTCAACAAAAATGGCGTCGAATGCTACAATTTTACCTGGTAAATGCTAACCGTGGTAAGAGTCGTCGCCCTCACTTACCAGGCAAGACTCTCGGTCCTTGCCTCGCTCATACCGGGTAAGATTCTTGGTCCTTGCCATATTCATCCGGTAAGCTAATGTGACTTTGTAAGCTCTTACCCGGATAAGTGTTTGGTAAATGACCCCTTAATATGATCTAATGATCTACTGGTTATTTTTTTGCACATGTTGAATGCAGCACTCACTACAACAAAATCGGTTTTATAGGACACCGTATTATATTGAAGTTCTAATATACTGCTTAATAGGACTTAAGTTTATAGGATCAAACAAAACAATTGTGTGTCCTTTAAAAATGTGTTACATAGGTTGCTTTTGGATGTCCTAACAAGTATTTTGCAGAATTTTGAAATAAAGTCTTTTTATGACATTATTTGAAATAGTGGCGTATAAAAATAAGTGTCCTCTAAAAAAGATGTATTCATAGAACACTTCTAAAAATATTATATAAAAAAATGACAGTACACTTTTAAAACCTTTATATAGGATGCATAATTGTCCGGTCCTATAAACCAAGTCCTAAATCAGTCAATTAGGACATTTAGACATCTTTGGTGTTCATTAAAGCCGATTTTGCTGTAGTGACTGTCTCTGGCTTCCTGTCAAACCTAATGCTTCAACAACTGGGCAAGGTTGTAGACAGTAAACACATTCCCTGAGTTCCATCAAATAATGGAAAATATTTAGATGTTCATATATGTGAAGTTGTTTTCAGGAATTATATATACAAAGAATGTTGTACATTGCACAAATCGAGCCTAGGATGCAGGTTTTCATATGTAGCTACTAGTTTTGTTGAACTTGACCAACCACTGTTAGGCTATGTTTCGCAAACTAGCCAATAAACTAGCTGATAAACTAGTCATGCTTGGTAGAAACTAGTGATAAGCTAGATAATGTAAAATGATGTAAAAGGACATGATGAAAATTAATTGGAAAAATATAAGTGGCATTAATTGGAAAGAATTTGGAAAACTCCCCTGCAGTTTATTAAGAAGTAGCTTTTCCAAAAAAAAAAAAAAAGACTAGCTTACGACTAACCAAACTGGGCTTTCTCGATAAGCTAAAAATAAGCTACCTAACATGGCCTTAGAGGTTTGTCACTAAATAAAGGGATCACACCCTTACTTCAGCAAGTCCAAATCTTTTAGTTATATAAACCACCAAGACATACACCTAGAAGTTTCAAGGCTTCATGACGTCATTGTAATGTTAACACGGTTTATTAACATGCTAGTACCCTGTTCTACATATGTAGTCAGCCTACACAGATTGCAGGCATTGAAAATAGGCCTTTTCTTGGTCTTTATTCCATATGATTGGAAGTGAATGATAGTGGAGGTGAAGAGTTGAGCATAATCCTAAAAAAGATTAAAGAGGCCATCTTTGCGGATCGGATCATCCCTATAATATACAAAGAAAAACTCCAGATATTTGAGATCTTCTTGTTGCTGCATATCTTGTTTGTACACGTCTTCTCTTTGATTTCGATGAACGCTTAACACATGCAAGTCGGACGGAGCTAACTGCAAAAACCCGTCCTCAGTTCGGATTGCAGGCTGCAACTAAGGAGAAGGATCCCTCAACCCGCAACAGAGAGAAGAGGATTTATTCAATCACATAGTTTGGGCTCCTAGAATATGGCGCGCTTGGTGCTTTCTTTTTGATTGTACCGGCAGGCCCAATGAATAAACAGATTCATTAAAAATAAAAGATATGGTCCTTCTATTTATTAATCCTTTATTCCCCTTTTACCCTTCCCATCTTTTATCCCCATCCCTTTCTGATCTCCATCTTGCAAGACATTGATATCCCCAAATTCTCCAAATATTCGACCATCTCTGTTCTCCATCTCTTACACCGGTTTCTTCTTCATCTATTCGGTTGCTTCATCTCAGTCGAGAAAACCGTCTCGAAGCCTCGTTTTCATGCTTCTTCAGTTTTGGTTTTGGGTTGGTTACAACTATTTTGGATCTGTGGCCTCCTCGTTCTCGGCCTGGATCTTGTTTTTATGTCTTAGTTACTGATCTTGTATTTGGGTTATAGGTTTTGGTTACTGATCAAATTTTGGTTTTGGGTAGGTTACAGCTATTTGGTTACTGATCTGGATGATCTGCATAAATTTTGATCTTTTGGTTACAGATATTTTGTTCATAATTTTTTTTTTATCTTATCTAAAGATCTTTTGGTTAACAAATATTCTTTGGTTATAGATATTTTGGCTTGGTTACAGATCTTGTTGTTCATAAAAAAGTTTGATCTTTAATGTTGTTTAAATCATAGGGTAAAATAGTCATTTTCATTATTCTAGATGGTTTATTCACCACAACAACCGAACAAGAATTTAGATAAACCAATGCAAACAACTTTATCCATACAAAACCAACCGAACAGCCCCTTAGTGAGTTGGTTGCCTATATCTTATTATACATTCTAGATTTCGAAGATTTAAAACATTTAATTTCGATAATGAAACATTTGTTCTCATGAGTCATAACTTAACATGCGAATTGATGCTAAATCCAATGCATTTTCTTCAATAGATTGGCTTGTAAACCATAAAGAGTTCCCATGCTTGCGATCTTCGGAAAAGAAAACCTTGCATTGTTTCTATTTCCTGAATTACTGAGGCTGCTTTCAAGTTTAACACATTCTCTTTTTGTGTCCACAATCCTAAATGCTAGATGTCGAGAAGGTATGACAGCCGTACAACAATCTTCTCCCCAGAAGGTCGTCTCTACCAGGTCGAATACGCAATGGAAGCCATCGGAAATGCTGGATCCGCCATTGGAATACTCTCAAAAGACGGAGTAGTCTTGGTTGGTGAAAAAAAAGTCACCTCAAAGCTCCTTCAAACTTCAACCTCGACTGAAAAAATGTACAAAATCGATGATCACGTAGCTTGTGCTGTCGCAGGAATCATGTCCGACGCCAACATCCTCATCAACACTGCTCGTGTCCAAGCTCAACGCTACACTTTATCGTACCAAGAACCAATGCCCGTAGAACAGCTCGTGCAGTCCCTTTGCGACACCAAGCAAGGGTACACTCAGTTTGGCGGGCTCCGCCCTTTTGGGGTCTCGTTTCTCTTTGCAGGATGGGATAAAAACTACGGGTTCCAGCTTTACATGAGTGACCCGAGCGGCAACTACGGTGGCTGGAAGGCGGCAGCTGTGGGTGCCAACAATCAAGCGGCTCAGTCGATGCTAAAACAGGACTATAAGGATGATATCAGTAGAGAAGAGGCTGTGCAGTTGGCACTTAAGGTTTTAAGCAAGACAATGGACAGTACCAGCCTTACTTCTGAAAAGCTTGAATTGGCCGAGGTTTATTTGTCGTCCTCCGGGAAGGTTAAGTACGAGGTATGCACGCCCGATGCCCTGAGTAAGATGTTGGTCAAATACGGTGTGACCCAGGCTCCTGTGGAAGCCTGATTTGAGTTTGGTTTGCTGTGTTGGACTTGGTTTGCATAATGTTTTCAAGTTGTATTCATGGATCTTGATTTTGGTATGGTATGGGATGTTTAGGGTTTGAACAACAATTGGCATATCGTCTTATTAGAACAGCCGATTTACATTTTTTTTTATTAACCTGGATATTCAACCCGCTATGCGAGCCAACTAATCCCAGGACAACCACTTGTTTTGCAGATGGTCTGGAGTCACCGCATTTGAACCTCCATGGCCACAAGGGGATTTTTATTTCTCCTTGGATTTGAACTTGGGACCTTCTGGTACTTTTGACCTTTAAAACCAAGTTCAAACCAATCAGGCACCACTCTTGTGGTTACAGCCGATCTACTTTCTGAATACAATTGCAGGCAAGAATTGGTTCATTAAAACTCTCTTTTTAAATCTAAATTATAATGCAATTTTGAAATATTGGGTTTTATTTTACGGATTTGTAAATTTGATATTTTCTAATTTTAATAAAATCATGGGGTTGTTTCTTTACCTCTTAATAGTTCCATTAAGAGGCAGCATCTGAATCATTAAGAGGTGAATTTTGTTTGACAAAAAGCAAAAAAAAAATATGCATCTTAATGGTTCTAAAACCATCTGAATGATTTTGTATCCTCAGTCTCCCTTAACCATTAAGTGTCTTGATTTCATTGTAAACAATTACCAAACAATTATATTTTATTTTGCATTATATCATTAATGCCTCTTAATCATTCTGACCACTTAATCATTCTACGCTAAACAATTCAGCAATGCCAAACAACCCCATAGTAATTTTCCATTTTCGATTTACAATAAGCTGGATGGCATAGTACTCGACTAGTTACTGAAAAAGGAGCCTCTCATTCAAGTAAATCAGAAAGTAAATGAAGAACTGAATCAAGAAGAGTATCAACCACTGTCCTTTCCTGATAAAAACACTACTAAATACCTTATCAACAAGTCAAATGCTCGGAAGTCAACCATTCTCGTGCGGCCACCAGGTCCGGAAGCACTGTAGCCCCGGATTTCTTCCAATTCTCAGCATCGGGTGTTTTGAACCTATCCAACAACAATGCATGCATACCCACGCTTTTCGCTGGTACATAGTCTTTACGCATGCTGTCCCCAATGTGCAGGACTTCTTCCGGTGCCACATTTCCAGCCCTTTCTAAAGCAATCTTATATATTTTCGGATCCGGCTTTTCCACACCCTCCAGACCCGAGAAAACGCCAAAGTCCCATTCAGATCCCTGGGTTCCAAAAATTGATTCAATTTTCAAGGTTTTTGTAGCTGGCACTACAACAAAATCGAGTTTATACGACGCCAAAATATGTCTAAATATCTTAATAGACTGATTTATAGAACCAAACAATTGTTTACAGGATTACCATTCAAGAGAGTTCTTATAAGTCACCCATATTTTTGGAGTTCTTAACCATGGTTCTTACCTTGAAATTTGTGTAAAATGACATTTTATTAGTTTTATATATATATATATATATATATATATATATATATTTTATTTTTATATCCATATTATTGATGTCCAAATAAAACAAGGGACCCACAAAAAGAGGCTATTAGTAGTCGCTACCATTGTGGAGTTTCATGGTAGATCTTAATTTGCTGAGTTGGCAATGATGTGACCAGAAAAAGTGTAAGAAGAAGGTTCTTATACGTCGCTCCATTAGAGATGCTCTAACAAGTAATTTAGAACACCTTTAAAATAAAGTCAACTATTAACATTTTTTATATGAGACTTCTAAGAAATGTCTCCATGAATTTTTTTTAGAAGACAATGGTTTTTACAACACTTTTTCAAAGAGTGTTATATAAAAAATTTAACTGACATTTTTTTTCAAAGAACATCATAATCGCCCAAAAACGTCCAATAAACTTATTTGCAATGCTTTTATATAAGACTTACAATCGTTTGTTTCTCTAAAAAGTTTATTAGGACACTTGGACATTTTGGCGTCCTATAAATCCAAACTTGTTATAGTGTAATATTTGAAAGTAGTAACTAACTAACTGACCTGATTTAAGCCGAGAGCTGGAAGAATTACATCCGGATACCTGTACTCAGCATTGCTAACTATTCCAACAGTCACACCCTGTGTACGAAGCCATCTTAGGAATGGTTGGGAATCAGGGAAGACGGTGTAAGGTGCAGATGAACCGAAGGTGGAGTATATGCGCCTGAAGATCTTCTCAAACGTCTCTTCGTCAAAATCATATCCTGCCTAATCGAACATTATATCATTCTGCCTCTAAACATCTATTCATGTAACACAAAGATATTGCATTCCAAAAAGAGAGGTATAAGTTGACTTTTAGGATCAACTGAAGTACTATATTCTCAACATTCATTAGGCTATCCTTTGCAAACTAGCTCATAAGTTAGTTGTTGTCTGATAAGTTAGCTGGTAGCCAAAAACTAGTCATTTTGGTATAAAATAGTGGATAAACAAGATGATAATGTAAAATGACGTTTTAAAAATCTAATTGGGAAAGAAAAGTGGAAAAAAGCACAAACTTATTGAAATGCTACTTGAAATAGCTTTTCGGAAAACTAGATTATTGGTTATGGTTAACCAAACAAGAGACTTTTAATAAACAAAAAATAGGCTAGCTTATGGTTGCCAACACAAACTGGGTTAAACACAAATTCGGCAAGTGTTTACCAGAAAAGAGTCACCACCCTCGCTTAAGGAAAGGTTCTCGATCATCAAAATAGCATAGTATAACAGTTTCTTAACTGGTAAGTGCCAACAGGGTAAGGGCCTGTTTGTTAGCATCTTAATGAGCTTAATGGGACTCGCTACTTATTCAGTCAGTTATGACTGTTTGGTAGTGACTTAATGATATAGAAAGTGACTTATTCAGTAACCTTCAGGGAGGAGCTTTATGCAAAAAGCCGAAAAAATTCCAAACTTGTCCTCCCGATTAGAAAAAAAACACTCCTTCCATCTATAGACCACTTCCAAACAAAAACCTTTCCAATATATACAGACAAATGATCCACACAAATAGCTATATCCATACAGGACTTCATGAAAAACCAAACAAACAGCCCCTAAGAGTCACACCCTACCGTGTAAGATTCTTGGTCAATAAAAAATGGCACAGTAAGGTTGTTGGCAAAGACCACCATCTCTTATAAGCGTTTAGTGACCCATTAAGAAAGTGTGTTTATTAGTCACCCTATCCAGTAAAAAATTGCAACATCTACTTTATCTCAAAACCTTGGTACAAAAATTCATGTAAGAGTAGCATATGTTACCTTGACAAATGAATTTCTCACACAACTTTTCCACCATACAATGTTGGGCATTTTCTCCGCATGCCCAAAACACGGATGTTTCTTCACCATGTCCGTGTACGCAAGCTTAAAGCCATCATGCACCCGCTTGTAATCCGGGCAAGGAAGCCCTATGGCTTTGGCGGCCATGCAATAGTAATCACCGAGTTCCCCCTTGTACGCCATCAAAGTCCCCGTCACATCCACAGTAATACATCGCAACTTTGCTAGGATAGACATCTTTAACCCGAAATTTCGGTATTTTTTCTTTTAATCAAGATGACAGAACAAGATCATTCAGATGATTATGTTCCTTAAAAAATCAAGTAACCCCTGCATTTTACATCAGAATGATGAGATCATAATCTAATGAGAAATATATGTAAGCAAGATATCAACAAAACAAAAGTTGGTATAATTTTGTCAATATTATTTGAAATGAAATCCAATAGCACCATGAAAAAATGGACATTTGAATCTTAATTTAAAAAACTTTAGACAACCCTATTCTACTTTCTTTAATCTTTCCGATCAAATCATCGATCGTTCCCAAAATTCAGCATATGAACCCTTGATAGTTTGAGAAACATCTGATCCGGGAAATCCCTAAAAATCAACCACAAGGGTTGTGGCGTAGCGGTTGAGGTCCAGGGGATGTGATGGAATATCCCAATCTACCCTGGGTTCGATTCAAAGTACACAACAATTGTGGCCACTGAGTTGATTTTCTTGTGGTCACAGTTTGCCGGAATAAAAAATCCCTCAAAAATCTACCAATTCCTACTGCAAATTCATTTGAATTCTTATTTCAAGATCAAATACACTCCTTACAAACTATAAATCATCACAAAAAATCAAATACGTAAATGAGCAAAAACTGATTATGACAAACAAAATAGAAGTTAAGAAGTGATCATCAGATCATCTCGCTCTGGATTAAAGTCAACCATAATCGATCTTATGCCAAACAATCCTAGTTACCACAAATTTCTACATTTCCCCCAACTGAAAAAGTTAAATCCAATGCAAGAAAAGTATACCATTAATGGGCAGCAGTTGATAGTACCAAATCTTTCTGGATCCCAAATTTCAAATGGAAAACGTATTTATATCATTCAAGCAACATTAACACAGGGACAGATTCAATCGAGCTTATTGCATAAAATCATCCCCAAGATCAAAGTAACAAACTCCCACCAATGAATATTCAAATCAAGCAACATTAACACAGAAAACCCATAGACTGAATCATCACAAACCCACAAAAGAAGACAGAAATGGAATCAAGAAAGGATGGAGTAAATACCCAGAAGTTGAAATGACGAGAATCTGAGTGGCTTTGTTTAAATCGCCATGAACGAATTAGAAAGCGAAAGAGCTTTCACTGCTCTTTTATCTAGTAATAATCCTCCATGGTTTTATTCCTTCAAAGCTACTCTCCAACTCTTTCCCGCGGCGCCCAGGGATGAGGCTTGGAAGCGGAGAGAGGGCTGTTGTTTTCCCATGGGAAGGAATTTAGTTACATTAAGGTCTCTATACTTACAAAGTTTGCTGGTTTTTCCTACTTTCACCACTTCTTTTCAATTTGCACCATAAACTTGTTTTTGGTTTTTTATGTGGATAACTTTTGCATATCTTGACTAGTTATATAAGTTCCTACAGTTATCAACGCAAAAAAGACATCAATAAATCATAAGTGTGGTGTTTGATTGGTTTGAGCTTGGCTCCAAAGGTCAAAAGTACCAGGAGTCTCAGGTTCAAATTCAAAGAGTAATAAAAATCCTCTTGTGGCCACGGAGATTCAAATGCGGTGACTCCGGGCTATCTGCAAAACAGATGGTTGTCCTGATATTAGTCAGCTTGTGTAGCGGGTTGGATATTCAAGTTAATAAAAAAAAAGTCCTCAATATATTTATGAGATCTTAAAAGCAATTAAGAAACGAAATTGTTACTTTCATTTTAAACAAGCGTCATAATTTTAACATTTTAGAAATTTGGATATTTTTGGAAAGTTGAGGGCTCCAAAGTATTTTTCATAATTTGTTATTTGAGAAAACCATGGACGCAATCCATACCTACGGTTTTCTTAAAACCAGTAATGCAATCGTGCGCCATACGACACAAAAAATCTTGAGTTTAAAGTCGAAAAATTGAAATAGCAATCATGTTTCATGTTAAATTAGTATTCTATGTCCCTCTCGATCTCGATACTAACTCTATGAATGTATGGTTCTTGCGTAGCTCAGTGCATATATGGATGAGTCATGCATTGACTATGAAGTACTTTGGTATGGATTTCAGTCTATTATGTGTATATCATCCAAAAGATACTCTATAAATATCATTAGCAGTTTTAGTGCTTATGAAAGATGAACTGTGTCAACCTAAGAAACTGTACATCTTTTATGAAAGATAAATCTGATGAATGTGCTTATCAATTGGTTTTATGAAGTTTAAACATGGTGCTTTAGAAAGTTGAATATTTACAGTAAATAAGTTGTAAACTTGAATTTTAAGAATATGACTTAAATGTTTTAGAACAGAGTAAAGATGATATTCGAGTAACAACATTGCGTGCAATGGCCATCAGCCATATACCAACAAATTCAAGACATACCTTATAAAGTTCATATTATCGGATATTGTTTTTAATATATATATATATATATATATATATACATACTTGGGATCATGTGAGACCAAAGGTTTTTCGTGAAACCCGTAAGACCAATTCTCAATCCTTGGATTACATCTACAATCTAAACATTCATAATCACAAAATTGTCACCGTGCAACTTTAGACCATTAGATCTTTAACTTATAAAGTTGATCAATGAATATAAATTGGTCTCACGGGTCTCATGAAAAACCCTTGGTCTCATTTGAACCCAACTATATATATATATATATATATATATATATACACACAGAGAGAGAGAGAGAGAGCTTGGTTCAAATACTAACCAAGATTTTTGTGTTAACTTTGTTAACCAATCTTGGTCATTGATTCTTACAATAAAGGGTTGTGATTAATCATGATAAAAAATTAAAAAAATTTAAATTTACAATTTCAAAGAACACATGTGAACAAAGGGGAAAAGGATATTTAGGTAAAAAAATTTATGTAACTCCCATATCATTAATTGGGAGTTACAAAATCAAAAAATCTCATTATTTTTATTAA